CCACGTGGAATCGATCTCCGCGCCCATGGCCCACCAAGCCATCCATCTCTCCGGGGTTGGCAAATTGGTACTAGGTTTGTCTAAGAGGATAGCAGCACTGACTCGATACATCGGTAGGTCACCGCGAGTCATTGTAAAGGCCAGATACTCATTCAATCACCTCCAACGATACTTAACGAAGTCGAATGCATGGCGCATCCCTCAGGGATTGATCAACGCCGAGAGCTTTTAGAGCTTTTTACGAATAGTTCGGCCTTACAAATTTAAGGCAAGAATGCAGTAGTTTATGGAGCTGCAAATGTGGTTAAAATGAGGTGTAGGTGGGATATATACAAATGGACGTCTCACTCAGAGAGGACCTCAGGATTTTGGCCTGGAGATCAACGAGATCGTAACAAAGAACGAACTTAACGACCTTTACATAAAAAAGCAAAGGATAAAGCTCTTGGTGTTGATCAATCCCTGAGAGATGCGCCGTGCATTGTGCTTAATTAAGCATCGTTTGGAGGAGATTGAATGCATATCCTGCCTTTACAATGACTCGCAGTGGGCTACCGATGTATGGAGCCAGGCCAGTATTTCTCTCTTCTCAAACGGGTGATGGAAGGCTTGACGAGCTATGGAAGAGGTATCGTTCTCTCCGGGGTCGGCAAGTTGGTACCAGACCTGTCTGGGAGTAGAGCAGCACTGGCCCAATACATTGGTAGGGCACCTCGAGTCATTGTTAAGACCAGGTATGGATTCAATGACCTTCAAACGATTTTTAAAAAAGTCGAATCCATGGCGCATCCTTCAGAGATTGATCGACGCCGAAAGCTTTATCCTTTTAGACCTTCAAGAATGAACTACATTTTGAAAGACCTGTCGAAGATGGTTTTTGGAAAGTTGTCGTAGAAATGCCGAAACTAATGCTTTCGTTCTCTCTGCCTGATGGAATCCTTAAGTTTTCTCGGTTACTAGGAGAATTTCAAACTGCGTGTTTAATGCGTTTACACTTTTTTATTTTGCTTTATTTGACCCGTCTTCACGTCTGCTGTACGGAACCCAGCACTTCTTTCATTAAATTAATTTTCTCACAGCCATTGTCCACGAATTTCCAACTTTACGTGTAGCTTCGGTTGCTGTTTGAGGATTTTTCACAACATCTTGAATGTCGTAGAATACTGATCGAGCAATTCTCCCTGGAGCCGCTAGGCTGGAGCGTTCCCAATTGTATTTCAGAAAGTGTTTTTTTCCTAGACAAGTCCGGTATTAATTTCCCGATCCCGGAGAGATGAGAGGTTTGGTTGGACCAGAGCGGAATCGAACTAGAACCACGCTCGTGATGATGGGCGTCACTGCGACTGTGGCTATCTGCCTTCATGCGTTCAAACCACTGTCATTAAATAGTAGTATACCTTAGAAAAGGGATTATAAGTACATATATATGTTCGGCCGTCCTTTTAGTCCACAAAATTATCTGTTTTTCCGTTATTTTGTACCTGCGTCCGAAAAACGAATTCTATAGAACTCCAGGGGCGCATGTGGCGCAGTGGTTGGAAACGCCCTGCAATACTCATTAGACCGATCACCTCGCCCAAGCTCACCAAAGGTTTCATCCCTGGGTCAGCAAATTGATGCCAGACTTGCTTGGGAGGACAGGAACACTGGCTAAATAAATCAGCAGGCCATGCAAGCCTCTATAATGGCCAGATATGCATTCAATCACCTCCAGCGATACCTAGCGAAGTCGAATGTATGGCGCATCCCTCAGGAATTGATCAACGCCTAGAACTTTGTTCTTTCATTTTTTATAAACACCATAACTCGTGGACATAGATGACACACCAAAATGCTTTCCGAAGTCAAATTTTTGTCAAAAGGATGTTATGAAGATCCCCTGCCCTAGGCCGTTGAAAGGTAAAACCCAACTTTGAAACATAAAAATAAAATTCGAACACGAAACTCATCTGACATATTACTCACACCACTAACTAACTAAAGGCAACTTCAGTTGTCCTGGTATTTTTTATTTTATTTTATTTTATTTTATTATTTAATTAGTAAAGGATATTAATTACTGGCTGGAAATACCTCCAACAACTAAGCTATAATCGGACAGTCGTCATCCATTCACTCTTTCCTTTCAATTTGAGAGCTGTTTTCTTTTTGCTTACTTTAAAAAGTTTAGTACGGATTATTATTGATGAATCATAGAACAATTTCAGGATGGAAAAGCTTTCAATTTCCGAAAAATTGAGGCTGTTGTGGTAGTTGTGCTAGTACAAGAGAATAAGAATGTGTTGAGTGAAAAATAACAAAATGCTCAGTTCTGGAAAGAAATTCCGTTTTTACACCAACTTTTTTTTTGAGTAACAGTTCCTTTAAATAGCGGCAATCATGAGGAAACATAAATAATGAGTAGTTAAATGAATAAGTAACTGAACGAAGGAGTGGATTTTACCTGTGATTGCGTCATGATGTTGGAAGAGGTTGAGTATTCGACGCGACTTCTGCAGTTTCATTGCCATCTCCACTCTTTGATTTGCGCCAGCTAGTGACCAAGCTTGAGCTGAGATTATGTCGGCCGCGCGTATAAAATTCTGGAATGGCTAAATAATAACATGCTGCTCTGTTCGTTTTTATCCACCTTCTGATCGGTTCTGTAATGGTAGCTGATGGGTCATATATCGTAATTACAAAACCTATTCAATAGTGACTGGCGTTTCGATGGTTTTGCCATCTTCTGAGCTTGGAAACGTCAAACTATCGCGCAATCTACTTATCCAGACACTTTCATTACTCAAGCAGAAAAACTTTAACATCTAAACCACATTTGCGAAATGAAAAGCTGCTTTTAAATAATCAACACTGTCTTCCTCACAAGTTTTCCAGTCATCGCGGTTGAGGAACGTGCCCGACTCAGTCAAAGAATCAACCTGAGGTATGGCGCAAGGCTACGCGTTATCACAAGGCATTCCTTCCTGCAGCCCAATGTTGGATTTTTTGAAATTATCCAAAGCTTTTCAAAGGTTATACGCGCCGATGTTTTGGATTCTTGTGCTTGGATGGCGGCTTTTGCTTCAAAACTATGTCCGCTATTTCTTTGTGCCCTATTTTGCCTAGTGGGGTATTCTGTTCGATGTTAAGTTTCGCAACTAGAGGCTCTTCCATACGGACGCAGCGTGTTCTACCCGTTTCACCAAAGTATTCGTCAGCGTTTTTCGTACACGTACCCGAACTCACGCAGTCGGCTTCTCTATTATTAGGCAATTTGTTTCATACATAGTTTGTCATAGAAGCGTTTTTGAACAAGTCGTATTTGAGCGTCAGAACCGGCCTCTTTCAAGAAACGTTGTACGGTTGCACTCACTTTATTGGAAATGTAGGTCAGGATAAACGGGATCTTATTCTCTCTAGAATTATCGTTTGGATGGGCGGTTTTCCTTACACCTATTCCAAGGAGCTATCGCTTTGCAGTCATTAGAAATGGTTATTTGCCACGTCAGTTCTAGGCAATCTTTCTTCTCTTATCCTGAGTATACATTGGCGGATGTTGAAAAAAAGTTTCTCATGGGCCCGTTTTGTGTTTGTTAGAGGAGGGTGGAGGAAGAAATAATGAGCCAGTATGTTTTTACTACTTGGCTTTCGGTACTACTTGCGGATATAGTAATTTTTCGATAGGTTAACATGAGAATTCAGAAATGGCAGACCTTTCGGTTTCTTTCGCGTAAATATGTGCGCTCTATGTTGGCTTAGCAGTGTAAACATTTATCCATCACCTGTTGGGTTCAACAGATGACAAAACAGTCTTCGATATAACCGCAGTACAGTAATGTCTGGAGACCAAGTATGGGGCTTCAAGTTTAGGCATGAATGCATTGGCAAGGCTTGGTGGCAGTCGTTGTCCTGTTGTTAATCGTCTCATTTGTGATTAGAGTTTTCCGAAATATTTGAAGACTGAAGAGCTTAGGCACTCTTTTAAGAGGACCAAGAGCTGCTCATTCAAAAAGCTATGCTTGTTTTTTGCTCCTTTATGTTGCTAAGAATTTCCCGGTTGGCTTGTATTGCGGAGTTATTCGACAAGTTGGTGTCAAAGGCAGTAACGTCGAAGGATTCCATGAATGCATAGTTAGGACGCGCGTTACGTAAACAATCCGGGAACATTTAGGTATTCAAGAAATAGACTGGAATGTACTTTAGCAACTGGATAATAGATTCATAAACAACAATATTCTATTCATGGGCCCATCTAAACAGCTGATGATGGGTCTAACCTTGTCTAACCATGAAGCGTGAGGACTCTTTAGAGAGCTTTTACTGAGCGAAGGAACTAGATGAATAGAATAGCAGGAAAAAATGATCACGATAAGTTTGGGCTGTATCTGATCCAACCATACCATGAGTTGAATTAGAAAAGCAGACTATTTTATGCGCAACAATTTTGATATGAGCAATAAATCCTCACATGAGTGAACCGCTCTTGACGTTTATAAAATGGTCTCGTGCTGAAGTATCCGACCCAGAGATCGCCAACTGGGCATCTGTAGGTGAATCATTGAAGGAGATAAATTAACTAGGCTTACAGTCGAGATCCTGTCAACTCCAAACAAAGCGTAACTGAAGGTTTAAACTTTGTTTCTTATCATTCCTCACTTCTTATCGCCTGCAGCAGTTTCTAGAAGAACCCTTAATCTTATCTTCACATCTCAAACAATTTCATTTGCCTCAATGATGCTGAGAAATGAGCGGTTACTCGAAAAAATTGTAGGCAGTACATAAAAGTCAAACATTCCATTTGCTTTTTAAATCTGATTTAGTCAAGGGGCTCAAGTCTGCGCTGATTCTGTTTTTTGTGATTTCATTAAAACCAATAAGTGAACTGAAAGATTCCACGTGAAACTTGTACTTCTATGGAAGAAATGAGGAATGTTATAAAAGATCTGGTTGAAGGTGAAACAGGATTCCAACTGGAAGAACCAATACACGACACAGCAAGTGATTATAGTTTTATATGAGTTTTACTTGTATGGAAAGAAGTCACCAGAAAGTGTAGAGGGCTGACGTTTGTGTTTACCATACCATCGTTCTAAGGCATTGAAGTAATCCGATAACGTGCCGAACCTTAATGGTCTAATAATGAAAGATGAAAGGTCAAATACTGAACAATAACAAATTTAAAGCCATGCAGGCCCAACAATTTATCAGTAGATGCTGTCACTGACGAAACAAATGATCTAATGTACTTTCTATTACAAACCTTATTTTAGCGTTATGTCGACTGTTGATTTCTTCAAAAAGTGGAAGAAAGTTATCGTAATGTTGATGCCACTCCTCGATCATGTCGAAACGAAAATCATCTCCTAGCATCATGAGAATCACATTCGAGTCATACATTTGCGACATTAATTCCAGCTGTCCCAGAAGAAAATTCGCTCTGAGGTGAAAAGCGATCTCAGAAATTGAAAGAAATTTGGCTTTATGATCCTCTCATTAGTAGACTTTACGGGTTTGATAAGTAGAAACACACTTCCATAACAGAGAAAAAACGGTATCATTACTTGGATGCAACATTGAATGAGGTTATGGGTTCAGGCCTAGGACCCGGACACGACCAATGCGTCAATCGTTTGAAGTCGAATTCACAACAAATCGCTGGATTGGGACCACACGAATTCAGAATATCGTAATGTGAATACGGCAACAAATGTGTTAGCATGTCTGCCTTTCCATTGCTATCTGAAACTCGCTAATGAAGATTTGGTTCAGATATTTTGAGACAACAGAGCCAGTACTCTATCAATTTATTTTTTGGAGATTCTCATTACTATGTAGACGTAGTAAAGTTATTTTTTTGGAGTACATGAGGAAAATTTTTTAGAAATTAACGCTAGAAAATTGTGGCAGGTCTTCAAGCTAGTATTTCTACAAACCCTTTCCGAGGTTAATTTTCGTTGTTATCTGAGATTTCGTTTTAGTCCAGTCTGTTGTATGGTAAATAAAAGTGAGGAAGCGATGCAGAACTCTGACTTTGAAAGGTTTTTGAACTAGATATCACTAAATGAAAGCAATAAGTGGTGGAGTTGCCAATCTAGGTTATAAAAACTTTTTAAGCAAAAGTCTTTTGCGCTTTTTCCTAGAAGTCGGGAAATAAATGTGGAATCAAGGACCTCATACCTACCGAAATATTGCCGCCATCGGAAAGGAACCGCTCTCTTTTCTTGTAGATATGTTTTGATACCGTGATGAACGCGATTAATGACAGCTCGTGAAACTCCTGAATCGAAAAAGGAAAATATTGCAGTGTAGGTGTAAAACTACAAAGTTTGTTTTTTAAAAAGTCATTGCTTCCGTTATCTTTAGAAAGCTAGAGTTGAAGAATCAGCGACGTCATTGATACAGTAGGGCAGTCGCACTCCTCCATTCAATTACAGTGGTTTGGAGAAAGCACTTGATTTTTGTGCTTTTTATTCTATAGGAGATAAGATGAGCCATTGTTCGTCAAGAATTTATAGACTGCATCCATCGAAGCGTTGTTAAGTGGTTTTCTATTGTCACAGTTTAGGAAGAACAGCACTGATTATTCCTGACATGAGCATGTTGAAATCGAAGGATTTGGAATCCGTGATGAAATCCAAACTTTGCCAATTGGCCTGAGTTCGAATAAAGACCTTAATTTGTATGCTCCATTGAAACTCGACATATCGGTCTTTTTGAAAAACAATGTCGTACTTTTAATTTCATTTTTTTCTATAAGTTTTAGCATTTTTTTCTGACTGGTGCACTGTTAAACATCCAAGCTCATTCTATGCACTTTTGCTTCACATGATTGAATTGTGATATAAATTGTGCTGTTGACAAACTTTAAAGGATTGCTTTCCAAAGATCGAAAGAGAAATTCCGACAAGTCTTCTTCTTCATGTTCAAACTCAGAAGTACGCAGCTCGAACGGTCGAAACATTGATAGGATATAGGGTCAAGGAAGTCTTTTCGAACAGACTGTGCATCCCGGTTTCAAAGATTTCATTGTGGCAGATTAGGCCTTGAACCTGAAGGATGTTTCGAGTGTCCTTTTGTTCCTTTTGTTGGTGGCGACGATAAATTGAAGGTTTTAGTGTAATCAAACACGCACATAACTATTAAAAGATCTCCAGAAAAGCTCCTTATAAGCATCTTTACTGCTTTGTAGCTTTAATGAATAGTAGATGGTTGAAGAAGACCGACAAGAGGATGTCGAACGAAATGACCAACAGTGCAAGCAGTCGCTATTGTGAGGTATCGTCGGAGCTTCTTCTAAGCAGAAACAACGACCAGTTTCTTCACCGTATTATGGCATACGACGAGTGTTATAGATCTATGATAAACTGTCACGATCAGCGGTTTAGCAACGATTAAGCACCTCAGCACTTCCGTAACTCAAACGCGCGCCAAAAGATGGTTGTGTTGAAAGTTCAGTGGTTTGGCACCGGTTTGAACCATTACTTACTTACCTGGATACTTGGACGGTCCGTCTTCACGAGGTGTGCAGACCCCAGCACATGTGCCATTCGTTCCTTTTTCTCGCAATCGTAGTCGATGATGGTGGTCTCGTTCGAGTATGATAGCGCTTGCGAGTCTCATACCGTGATCTGTAAAACAACTGCAGGTGCGGCTACAGCTGATTAACTTTGTTTACGAATACGTCCGCCCAACGTGTAGGTGGTCGTCAAAGGGGATTTTCTTGGAGACCACTCTATTGTTCTTTTCATCCATATGTCGTCTGTTCTTCTCATTATGTGACCGGTTCATCTATGCTTCGCTGTCGATGTATATTCTCCTGGATCTCGAAAATGTGACAGATTTCGAAGGTCAGGGTTTCGCGTTCCGGCTACATATTGAAAGTGCCGTTTATATTTCAGAAGACATCGCTCAAGCGCTCTGTGGGTAGTGCGAAGCATTCTTGACATAGTTGAAATATCAACCCACGTCTCTGCAGCATAACAGAGCGTTGAGAGGACCGTAGAATCAAAGAGATGAGCGCGGATTTTCGGGTCCCTCAGTTGGTCGGTAGCTTCTTTGAGAGGCCCGAATGCAGCCCAAGCTGCTCTCCTTCTTCTATCTAGTTCCTCCTACATATTGTTTTCTATGTTCATCGATCGCCCAAGGTATACGTACGAGGTGGTCTCTGAAATGAGAGAACCATAAAATTCAATTTTTTCACCTTCGCACCGTTGGTTTTTCATGAACTGGGATTTCGATTTATGCAAAGTCCGATTTTTTTCCGCGCTTCATTGAGCTCGTTTATCATCACTTCTGCTTCGCTAGAACTTCTTGCGAAGATAACAATGTCGTCGGTAAAACGAAGGTTTGATAGGAGTTTTCCATCAATACGTATGCCTTTCTCATCCCAATCGAGTTACTTCATTATGCACTGCAGTGCTGCACTAAACAGCTTTGGCGATATTGTGTGGCCCTGTCGAACCTCTTTTCCTATGGGTATTGCAAGAGGTCGATGGAAAAGCTGTATTTTCGTAGTGCAGTTCCGATAACAGTCGGACAGAGTCCTTATGTAGGACGGGTTCACTCCTTAGTCGATGAGCACTGATAGGATTGCATTCGTTTCGACACTGTCAAACGCCTTCCCATAGTCGACAAAGGTTAGGACTATAAGCAAGTGGTATTCCCGACAAACTTTGATGACTCTGGACACGGTTTGGACGTGGTCCATGCAGCAAAATTCTTTTCGAAATCCTGCCTGATCGACTGCTTCATCCAATGTCCGTGGTATGCGCGAGAGGATAATTTTCGTGAAGAGCTTGTAGAGTACACTTAACAAGCATATGGGGCAATAGTTACGAAGATCCCTTCGGTCTCCTTTCTTGGGCAGGATGACCGTGCGCGACGTCCTCCATTGGTCTGGAATTTTTTTCTTTTGAAGGTACTCTGTCATATGATCTGCGAGAAGTACATGTAAATTGTGGCCTCCAGCTCTAAGGAAATCGGCAGTGATGTTAACGGTTCCTGGAGCTGTGCCTCTTTTCATGCTTTCTATCGCAAGTCGAACCACCGACGGGTGAATTCCAGGTGGTTCTTATCCAGCGGAATATTAGGGCCCGGGACGGGGATTGTGGAACGAAGAAGGTTGGTGTAGAACGTTTTCACTATTAATTCCATATCATGGCGGGAAGTTGTGACGATCCCATTCAGGACTGACGGCGAAACATTATAGTCATACATGTCTCGACGGCATTTTTTCAGACTGCTTCCTTTCTCTACTGCTTCCAGCATTTTCTTTTGCTTATACCGCTGTAGATCTTCCTGCAAAGCTCTTCTGCAGCTGGGATTTATTACTAGCCATGCTAAACGTGTTGCACTAGGGTCAAGTGTCGGTTTCCTTCCCTTTTCGAGAAACTTCTTAGTAGTGAAGGAGATGCGATCCGCTCTTCTTGCTTGAGGAACTGAGGCTAATTCGGCACAGCTTTCCAGTTCTTCGACAAACAGCTCGTAGTCTTCGATCGGGTCTTCTTTAATCTGCCAGTCACCTTTGGGTAGGATTTCGTTCAGAATGTTCTCGTCGTATACAGCTAGACTTTTTCCTCGTGGTCGATGAAGAGAGTTCTTTTCTAGGTTGCTGCTGAATCGAATCACCGCGTAAAAAAGGCGGTGTTAGGAACCAGTACAGAAGGACGGGACTAGCGATGTGTCAAGTAGGCACCATCTTCTGTTTGTCAGAACATGGTCGATCTTCGCATGAGTCATGCCATTGGGAGACTTCCATGTCCAGCGGTGGCTTTCTTTCTTCTGGAAAAACGAGTTTCCACGGAAGAGACGTGCTACTGACAGGAGTTCTGCGAGACGGTTCCCATTCTCATTTCTTTCTCCTAATCCAAAACTTTCGATCCAATATTCGCTCTCGTTGGCCTTTCCTATTCTGTTGAAGTCTCCAACAACAAATTTATGATATGCTTTATCATTGCGGATGACTTCGTCCAACTGATAGTAGAATGCATTTAATTCGTACTCATCAGCTGCATCGGTCGGTGAGTCGCAGTTGACGATAGTGATCTTTTCATGATGCGACAGCTAACTACGGAGGACGGCTATGCGAGAGGAAAGGGTCACGTATGAGTCGACGAGATGGACAATGGACAGGTGGACGACAAATCCTACGCCACCGACATTTCGTGACGGGACCTTCTCTCCACGGATCACAAGGCTCCCGTTGTTCAGTTGGCGTATGTCGGTCTTCTTGATTTTTGTTTGTTGTAGTGCGATCACATAAAGTTTAATGCGATCTGCGGCTACAAAAGAGTGGGAAAATCGGCGTCTGTGGAGAGTGTTCTGGCATTATACGTGCATAGTAAAAAACAATCTCCATGGCGTGTCGTGCGTGTGTTCGTCAGATCCGGTTCCAATGACGTCCTGCGTAACCCGAGATTTTCTGGCCTCTGACCGGTCGTCTCACAGCCTGACGTCATAGACGGGAGCACCCAGAGTGAGGGGTACTGTGGCTGGCCTATTGCTGGTCGCGCAACTTGGTCCTCTCTAGAGTTTTGACGTATCCTTGCAAGGGCGTATTCAGGTTTTCACCACAATGTGGATCAGAGGGACGTATGTTTTCGGGGACGAATCCTTCGCTCGGTCTTCCTACTAGTTGATTCGGAGAGATGTTAAAATCGAAATCAGAAACGAAAGTAGGAAAGTAAAAGTAACCGACCGCTCAAGGACGATGTAGAAGCCGAACGGCGTCCAGCGTCCCATTTGAGGTTAGAACGACTATGGGAAAGAATACATTTAGAAATCCGACTATGTTCACCAGAAATTTCAAGGGTTGCGCCTTGCTTTGTTCAGCAGGAAGGTACTAATCCTTCCCACGAGAACGCGCGACGACACCAAGGCAACCACTACGCTAGAAAGGTTGAACGAGCTTGACCACGAGACCACTTCATCCATAATACTAGCCGGAGCTCTCGCATACTGGTTACCTGTTTTTTAAACATCTCAACAACTTTCCATACAAAAAATGTTTCAGGAAGCATGCCGAGGCCGAAACCGCCTTCAATGGCTTCGTCGCCCCCAGTAGTTCAGAGGTTCATGGAACTGAAATAAATAAACTTGTTTATCATTATTGCGGATCCTAAGGGTTTTCATTCCGAATAACAAAGTTGATCTTGAGAAGTGACATTTCACTTTAAAAACGCAGGTTGGAATCTGACATTAATTAGCAAAAGTGAAGGTTTTGGTAAAAGAAAGTTTTGCTGGATTCCTTAGCAGGCTTTCCACAGATAGTTATTCTCCACTGGAATGGTGCTGCACACAATTCTCTACTAATGGGAGGCTTTTCACTTCTGGGGGCACGGTTGTAGATAGGCTGAAAACCACTGGAGAATCTCGACTACGATGTTTACGTGTGTCAGCATGGTGTTTTCGTTTCTTCTAAGTAGAGAGTTGATGAGTATAAAAACAGGGATTATACTTCTTAATGAGTAATTTTTATTCTCACTCGAAAATGGTTACATAGAACGGAAAACTTTGGGTGAAACTTCTCAGCCACTAATGTCCATTCGTAGGATATTTGCTGTGCTCCGTTTTCTCTCTTTTTTGTTTAGCAACTCAGGTATTGCCAAACTGTGATAGCGCTCCTACCAACGACAAATATTGGGAGAGCTTGTTTGCTGAGCTGCTTCATTATCCTTTTTGACATCTACTGTTGATAGTCTTGCTGTTAAGAAGGTAAAACTTCGATGCAGGTAATTCAGAGCTTTCCTTCCATCTCGAAAAATATGGGAAATGAAGTGAACTCAATTCTAACTCATTACGATCCGTTTCTTTCGTTCAGACACATACCCTGCGCTTGCTTTTTGGTTAAAATTTTGTTTTCCACTATTTCCACCATATTTGTTCAACTACTAATAGTAACGATAATAATCAGCAGTAATAATAATATTGAACATTCTATGAACGCCTGGTAGGTGTCGATTTACCAGCTTGAGTGAACAGGTATGGAATGGTATTGCTGTAACCAAACGGATCGTTGGACCACACAACTGTTGGAGAAGCTCCACCTGAAGTTGGTACGTTTTCACAGACGACTTTGAGCTTGTTTCATCTTTATTTCCCTTAACGCTGATAGAGGTTTTTTAGAGAAATGTGGTCTCTAAAATGCTAAATGAGCGATGAAATAAAGAATAACATACAAAGTTTGGGCAGATATTTCTTAAATTGATCATAGAATTACCTGCTCTTTGTTTACCGGCTTTTTTCTTCTCTGTCTTCAGTGAAAGGACAAAAGTACGAGTTACAGATATTTCAGTATCTACCTCGTCTTTCTTGGTCTCTCTCAAGACTTTCATGGATTTAAAAAACGCTTTTGACTCTGTTGAGATAAAATCAGTAATATAAGTTCTGAACAGTCAGGAAGTCCTTACTCAGTATAAAGGTCCTTCGTGAACTACGTAAAAAATTTACAACCACGATTTCACCATTCTTCAACGATAGTAACGTCGAAGTGAAAACAGGGGTTGAGCAAGGCGATACCATCTCGCCAAAATTATTTACCGCAACCCTCCAGAACGTCATGCTAACATTGGAATAGGATAATATGGGATTGAAGATCGATGGTCGAGAACTACACCACCTTTGCTTTCCTAATGACATCGCTTTTATAAAACCAAACATTAGCCAAGCGGAACGAATGCTTACCGATTTTGATAAAGCGTGTAGAAAAGTTTTTCTTCGATAAAATCTCACAAAAACGACGTTCACGTGGAACGGGTAGGTTACACATGCCCCAGTCACGATCAACAGAATGAATATCTATCTCCGAATGCTCCCGTTATGTCTATCTAGGTCGGGAAATCAATATGTTGAACGATTTAGCTCCAGAGTTGAGCAGAAGGAAACGAGCGGCTTGCGGAGCTTTCAAGAGCTGTGAATCGAGGATGTAGTGAACAGAACAAAGAACACCCGACTTCGTGCCCACCCTTTCGGCTCCACCATACTTCCTGCTTTAACGTATGCGTCAAATACCTGGTCGTTGCGTTAGTAGGATGAAACATCACTCAGCGCTATTGAACGCGCAGTCGAGAGGGAGATGCTTGGAGTATTCCGTGTCGCGCAAGTTAGAGAAAGGATCCGAAGCTCCGACCTGCGTCAACGATCAAAAATGAAAGATGCGGTCCTATACGCCAGACAGTCGAAAAGAAGATGGGCAAGACACGTAATACGTATGAATGACAACCGATGCACAAGAGCCATTAGTGATTGGATTTCTCGGGATGTCAAACGTACTGCAGGAAGACCACCGACCCGATAGTCACAGTTTTTCACGAAAATTCTAGAAGAAGGGTATGATGCTCAACGTGTACTTAGAGCTGGAAAAACTCACTGGGCTACTCCTGCACGCGGCAGGTAAAAATGAAGAATTTACTGGCGGCCGCTCTAGTCACTCGAAGATCAACGGGACTACAGGTGATGTAGGTGATACCCCTAATATAATTAGTGTAATAATCGTACCCCATGAAGACAGAACGAAATTTGGCGGAGAATGAATGAAATGAATTTAAACACCGATATTTGGATGAGAAGCAGAGAACTTCGCATACGAAGCACGAAGAATGAAACGCTTTTGCTTTTTTTCCGATTTTGCCGATTGTATAGAAACAGATAACTCGCTGAGATCTGTTGTAAATGGTTGGATGTCACCAATGGCATGGGTGATTTTTCTGAAATATCCAGATAGAAAGTTCGTATCACTGATTGTTAGCGAGGGATTTGTCTAGGACGATAGAGATTTTGCTAAAGATTGACCGATCAAGAAAGATACAGCTTGCTGCGTCCGGCATAAAAAGCGATGATTCCCGAGACCAATTTCCTGTTAACACCAGAAGTGAGGAATAATTTGTTACGTCCGTGATAAAACCATCACGAAAGTGTCAATAGAAAGGTTACTTCACATGGCTCACGTTTTGCTTAAATTGTCTTCCTTCAGACCAGCTTTAAAAGAAACATTCTCACTACGCGGGCAAATATCTCCATCGCCTTAACGAAAATTGCAAAACTTAGATTTCAACCACCCGATGAATACTTTGGCAAACCTGTGACACTTCTTGCGAGGTCCAATTTGTTGAAATTGTTAGACCAGGCACACTGAGTTCACTTGCACTAATTCGTGTGCCCGTACTGAGTAAAAAAAAGATGAACATGAGAATGGGATCTGGTCACGTATTCGTTATTTCACTTAACTTTTAGATTTTTTGGTCAGTTTTATTCAGTCGAGAGTCGGTTTCACTAATAACAACATTGGTAGTACTCATACTACTAACATTTCTTCTACCACTAAAATTAATAATAATAATAGTAATAATAATAATAATAATAATAATAGCAGTAATGCTGGCGAGCACTCGACTTCGGAACGAAATCACTTAAAAAGCTGCATTGAGATTCGCACAGTACATTCGTGTAACTAACAATTTTAAATATTCGCACCGATTTCTTGATGGATAAACTGATGGCCTTCAATGATGTTGTCCACGCTAACCGGATAGTAGACGTTGGCTTCATCAGTCATCACCCATGAACCGGATGTGAGTTCTAATCTACCCGATTTCAACAATCTGAAGGTTTGCTACCACAGAATCTTACCGTGACAACTTGGAGCAAGAAATTCTCATACCTGCGAACATCTTCGCGAACGCTATCATTCTGTTTTGACCACCATCTCTCTAAAAACACCATCTCGGCCCAAATAAACGTCATGTTCCCATTTTTTGTCATAAATTGGTGCATATTATTCAGAATCGAGTCCGTACTTTCAGAGTAGGAATCGAAGGTTTTTAGCCATCCTGTAGCAGCATATAAAGGATAAATTAAGTTATATTTAAATGAAAAGGTAGAAATTTGGCACCAGGATCGACATGCGTGAATGGAACTACAAATATTTCCAGCTTTTCCATGCTTTCGTTACGCGGCCGAGACGATTCTGATTCCGATGACCATAAACCACCTGCGACTTGATAGCGATAAATATCAAAAGTCTAGAAAAAAATTCGGCTAAGTCTTAACAAATACATCAGATAAATCACAGCAATGGAAAACAGACACACACATCGAAATCCCCAACGGTGTGGTTGAGAGCATTTGAATGGCAAGTAACATTACACATTTTTGGCTTGAATCTTGTCCATTGAGATTTGTTGACACCGCGGGAACGTTGATTGGAATGCAACTCAATAGCACCACAGTGAATCCATCTCTTTACATCCAAAAAAGTGACAAGAATACCATACTATCTAAGCAATTTCACACCTGTACGGTACTGAAGTAGATGACAGATCCTACAATGGCAATGATCAGCAGCTTGACGAAGATATCCTCATCCTTGCGGCGGACACGTCTTAATCGCCAACCCATTTTTCATGTAATGATGCACAACTTTTATAATTGAACCTGGCCTAGAAGTGGAAACCAATCGATAAGAAGAGTGAGACAAATATAATTAGTGTAACGTCAACTAGACAGACGAAGCGTTAGTGTGATTAGTTTCGAAGCATTTCAATGGTCAGAGTGATAGTAGAGTAATCACAGGAACGGAGAATGAAAGCGGACAGGATATGTTTTTGTTATGAAGTACCTGATTTACCTCGTTGGAACATGTTCACAGTCATAAAGATGGGCGTAGTGTTGAAGCCTCTATGTTACTGGCCGTAACACATTGGGAGATCTTAAAGAAACATGACCACACTAAGTTTCGCGTATGTTTATCGTAAAGGGTGAGTACACAACAATCTACTACGTGTGGACTTTTGAAGAATCTTAAAGCAGAGTGTCATAATACTATGAATAAAACTATGATGAAGAAGATCTTTCACTTATTCTCCAAGCAAATTGTTAAACACCTTTCCAACTTCTTGAACTTACAGTGTCTCTTCTGTCAAAACTGGTGTTGGATTTCGCAAACCGAGCACAGTGGCGTCCACCCAAAAACTTTAGAGATGAAATGAATGAAAGAAGTGAACCTAAGAGCTCATATACATATGATGAAATCTTGCGCATTGAAGCGATAAAAAAAATCATAGCATGAAAGAGATGATGGTGGTTCGTGAATCGTCACAGTGATAAGAACAGGTCGCATTTGCAACTTGCAAGCACAGCAAATGCTTTCGAACTTTCACCAGTTCTCAATGTTCAAAACAGACATGAACACTTTTCCTACGGCATCGCGTCCTTGCCGAATTCTGGAAAAGATCATCTCTGAGAATCCGTAAATGTGAAGTCACACTTTCCTGACGAAGACAGCTATAACCTGTAGTTAAGTGGGATACTTCATGGTATACAATCCATGCAAGGTGGCAAGCGGGTGGGTTGATAGGTTTGAAGATGTCGCTCAGTTAGGTGATGGAGGCACACAGCAGGAAACAGCAAGAAGATCATATTAATATTCTCAAAAGCGTGATGTATAAATTAATTTCGTTATGACAGCAGATTATTGATTATCTATGGCGAACTTCATGGAAATTCGCTGTTATTTTTGGGAAATGTAATCGATAATCAAATAATCATTCATCAGATCAGATAGGACGACCGTACTACATCTATTTCTAAACGAATATCGTAGTCAATGCGGCAAGTACCATTGCACTTCCTTTCTTTTTTGTTCTGCCTTCTTATTTTTGACGTTTTTGGGCAAGACTTTACCTTTACTCTTCTTTTCCAGTTGTGATGGACAGTTCGGAAGAAGGAATGAAGTTATCGCGAAAACGTCTGCCGTGAAGACAATGATGAAAAAGGGCTTTAGTAACGTTGTTGTTTTGTTTTCAAAAAATCTCAAACTCTAGAAATGGCAGAAAAGAATATAGAGGAGCCTCTTGTAATGTAAGCGGATCTAGGTCGATTAAGTGAATATCACACGCATATCTGACACCAATAACGATATTTTTATGAACAGCTCATAGAGCATAGCATCGTCGACTGCTTGATTCTTAGAAAGAATGAAGAATAAATGTTAAAGTGTTTGATGCTTGTCTAACCTTTAGGGTTGCATCATGCATTTCACTCCACTCGCAGCATCTTAGAGATGAGTGAGCGCATCTTTGGCCTGTGGAATAGATCTCAGAGGTCTATCGATATAGCAAATAGATATTCTTTCACCCTAACAGATCTGTTACCAATTCGCCTACCTCGGAGTGATGAGGACCTTCCTTGCCAGAGGCTCAGGATCGGACCAGCAACTGCTGTGTTGCAAGGCATCTCTAGCCATTGCGATACAGTTGCTCTTGGGAATGACGAATTCTAAGGAGCTCCAAATATCGTTGCCCTGACATGGATCACTTAGGTTGGAGCATTCTCGAGTGAGTTCCACGATCGACTTTCTATTAGCTTCGGCTCTGATCAAACAGTTCTCCGTATTTTTGCTGAGTAAACACGATCCTAATCCTAGAATGAATAGTGAGGAAGAATGCCCAGAGATCGCACAGGATCTTGCCCCGTTTCTTAGAGTGGACCTTTAATATTGGGTGGTATAGTCATCAACCATATGCGACTCTAACCAGCCGTTCTTCTTCAGTGGAATGCAAGTAAAAAACAGTGGATTTTTCGAGATGCTGTTAATCACGGGATTACCATAGAAATTTTCAGCCATTTATCCATGTCATCGAAGCGTTTGGCTTAATAAGTTGCGTGTAAACACACCTTTCAATGCTCTGAAGAAGACGACACTGCCGAAACATCAGCTAGTGTTGTAATAGATGTAATATTGTCGTAATAAAAAAATAAAATAACACCCCGTGTTTGCTTAACAAAGAAATAGAGGATTATTCTTGAGTCTGCTCATTAACATAGACCTTAACTCTGTCATTATTGTATTGATGTGAAGTAAATTTAATAATTTTAACCTCAAAATTTGAAAATTGTTCTTGAAAGAGAACAAACTGTTTCCTACTGCTGAATTTGGCTAAGGAAATTTTTAGAGAGAGAGAGTCTTTGAACATGCTAAAGGCAGTAGTGTTACTTGCGGAATTTTCAAAACAATATATTATTGCAGAAAGTTACATTGACGAAGTCATTTCAAACTCTACAAGAATCGTTTTTTTAAACCAGATTTGCGCTGTTAGTTTTTTTCCTTCTCTTCCATCCCTTTTCAAAAATGTCAACAGCCGATTTTGTCTTGCGCGAACAATTAGAATCTGTGTTTTCCTGTTGGATCAACGTATCGTGGGTTAGACGAACGCCAGACGTGGGCACGTCAGGCCCGTCAAAACACGCCATACTAGTTTTCCAAACTTCGTTCCAGTTACGAAACAAGCACTTCTTTGATGTCCTGGGAAGGTTTTCATTGATACCGGTCCGACTGAGCGTGGGGTTCTAAAGTCGTTAGGCGAAAAAAGGCTAATTGGCATCATTTAATGGGAAATAATGTGAACAAGTAAGAAATAGGAATACTATGATTGAAACAGTAATAACTAATAGAAATGTTGTACCAGAAAAATATGCTGTCAAAAAGTATTTCTAGAGAAAAAGAACTTCAAAGCAACCAGAGAAACTTTCGTTGACTTATTTCGATGTGCTCTGAATGGCAGTAGTTATTTTTCTAAATTTAATGACTGAATTATGGAGCATAAACGGATAGTCGGGGTGAGATATGGAGACCGCCGTCCTAAATGTCGTGCTAGAACTAAAATGGAAATAGCCGCCTCTCGACAGAATCGGTTTTATTTGAACAGCTCTCACATATTCTGACGATATTTGGCGAAGCGGAGGTTTTATATCTGAAGCAAACACATTAATAGAGATAATTTTTACCATGGAGTATAAAAATTGCTCAGTGTTGAATCATCTCTAAGGGTTGTATCATGAATCCGACTCCTTAGCGGAGGTGATTGGATGCATACCAGGCCTGTATTCTGACTTGAGGTGACCTACTCGAGGTAACTCACCAATCGAGTTTTTATCCTCTTAAACAATTTTAATACCAATTTTCCAACTCGGAATGGATGGATGGCCTAGTTTTCCGGAAGTGAGGAAACGTTGCTAAAACAGTGAATATTTAAAATTAAACTATGAATACGAACATCAAAACTGATTTATACGGTTTACAGAATGAATGTTATGCTGGCGTTATCAAAGCCTATGAAGCTCTTCCTTTGTGTCAGCTGTGTTGAGCTTATACGAAACACTAATAAGAAACAGATGAAACGGATTTTCTGTGCTAAGTATTCATCTTACATCAAATATCGCCTAAGACATTCGTCACGAAGCCGGTTTTTCGACAACTGACGATAATTTCTTGACTATTAGAGTCCGTAAGGAGGTGAAAGCTTAGCAGATACAGAACATATGAGATGTTGCTGCCGTGTCGCATTAATAGTATACAGACTTTATGCGATGCTTTCCGATTAAACATGTTTAGCTCAAAAACTTTGAAAGAATTGAAAGCGAAATTTAAATTTTCTAATCCTCAAGAGAAGTGTAACCGTTCCAAATACAAACACAGCGATGCATTGGGAAGCACTATCATCCTGCTTTTCCGGCTTACTTTTACACTTAAAATAAGAGTCACGACGCGAATTCCTGAAGCTGAGGCAAGAAAGGATAAAGTGTTCGGTGTTGATCAGTTCTTGAAAGGTGCCCTATGGATTCGATTGCACCAAACCTCGTTTGAGGTCACTGAATGCATATCTGAGCTACGCCTCGACTTGTGGTGACGCACCGATGTATCAAATCGCTGTCGATATTCCATCGGACAAGTCTGGTATCAATATGCGGCTTCCGGAAAGGAGAAGAGCTTGGAGAGCCTTAGGCGCGGAATCGAACCAAAGACCTCGTCCGTACTGCAGGGCATCTATATTCCCTTAGCTATAAGAGACTTCAAACTAGGACTCAAGCTTAAAGTTGGCAGCGGCCACTATTTTTGTAGTAAATGTATTGTATTCAATGCATGGCGGAAGCAGTATTTTAAAGCTTGTTGCAACAACAGATCACAAATCATATTGTCCAAAATCATGACATCATTTCTGTTAGAAACCCCGGAGATTTCACTCACTTTTATAGATGACCAAAGCCTTTCAATTTGCTTTGCTTTTTAGCTTGATTGTATGAATCGTTTGAACACAGTGCTGTTTCCATCTTCAAATGGCGATCATTATAATCTCAGGAAATTTTATGATGTAGCACATAACCTTATCAAACCGTTCATATGTTCAATAGCTGATAAAGTGAGAAAAATATGAAGGACAAATCTAGTAAACACAGTTACTAGCGTATCAATAAGCACAAGTTCAAGACGCCAGTGGCATTGTTATCGCTAGTGTTTGACGCTTTATCATTGTTCGATTTCTACACAAGCCAGAATGGAGTCATCTTGCCGTCGTACAAACACATCAATGACTGTTCACTTTAAAACGATCTCTACGAGT